GTGGTTAAGGTTTGTGCAGAGGAGAGAGAAATAACAGAAATCACAAAATAATTGATTTAAAGGGAAATTGTCAAAGTTTTTTGGGACGTCCCAAAAGAGAAAGATGACAAAGTTTTAAGGGACGGAGGGAGTATAACATAAGCAGACTAATAATTGAACAGGAAAATTTTCTCACTCATATATAGTTCTTTTAGTTAGAACATAAGTCGGCTAACAATTGAACAAAAGAACTTTCTTTCTCATATGTAAGAATTTTAGGTATAAAATGATAAGATTGCTAATAATAGAGAGGAAGAATTTTTCTCTCATACGTAGTTACTTTTAAGTATATAAGATAGTCTAGCTAACAATTGAACGGGGAAATATTTTCTTCCATATGTAGTGCTCTTAGGTATAACATAAGCCATCTAACATTTGAACGGGATAATTTTCTCTTTGTAGTGTTTTTAGATATAACAAGTTTGCAAATAAGTGAACGACAAAATTTCCTCACATATATAATCTCTTATGTATTAGAAGATAAACTTACTAACAATTGAGCGGGAAAATTCTCATATAAGTAGTTCTTTTAAGTGTGATAAGCCGGTTAACAATTAAGATGTAGAGTTTTGTCTCACATACGTAGTGTTTTTAAGCATAAGTTAATCCGGGTAACAACTGAGTGCAACATTTTCTCTTATATGTGATTCTTTTTTGTATAAGACTAGCTAACAACTAGCGGGAAATTCTTTACTCCCACATGTAGTGCTTTTATGTCATTATGTGTAATAAGTTAGCTAACAATTGAACGGGAGAATTTTCTCTGTCATTTGTAGTGTTTCTAGATATAACAAGATAAATTTGCTAATAATTAAGAGGATAAATTTTCTCTTTCATATGAAGCATTTTATGTATTAGAAGATAAACTTGCTAACAATTGAGCGGAGAAATTATCATATAAGTAATTTTTTTTAGGTATAAGATAAGCCTACTAAAGTACTAAGAATTGAAACAAGATAATTTTCTTTCACATATGCTAGCACTAATTTAATTAATGAGTGGTAATTTATTATTTAGCTAATACGTAATATTCGTTAATTTCAATATGTATTGTATTTACTTTTTTTAGAATAGTATATATTTAATTTTAAAATTAATTTAGTCATGAAAATTACTAAATATACTCTTCATTGAATACGGGCTTATACTTTATGGCATTAGCTTATTGTATTCTAATTTTTTGAAAATGTAGAATCTTACAAAGTTATTTTTATTTTTATATTTAATTATATAATAAGTAAAAATATATGCACCAACTGCATTTTCTCATGCGTATGCACGGGTACTACACTAGTTATCTAAAAAAAGAGGTTACATTTTTTGTAAAGTACTTTGCTTTCGTCATACATATGTATGTAATTATTTTTTTAATAAGTGCATATAATTATTTTGAGCTTAATATTTTAAATATCAAAAGTATTACCGAGTAATAGCTAGGGGATTGATTTCAATTTTGATAAGAAGTATACATTTGAATAATATTTGAACTAAACATTTTAAATGATGCCCCCTATAACGTTTTTTAATAATAATAAATGAAATAAATTAAATTTTGTCTGAAATTTTTCGATCTGATCTTAATGATTTTGTTCTAATTTGATATGAATCTTTTTTATATCAATTTTTTTGATCTAATCTCATTTGAACAAAATCAGAATATACAATAAGCAATAAGCCATAAAAATAAGAAAAATAGAACAACACCTTAGTACATGAACATAATGGAATGAAACCTAGTCGTCATCTCCGTCACCACAGAGTGGTGTGCACGTTTATTTTTTGTTTGTATCATATTTTAACGTTTTTTCGTCTTCATATCATATCAACAATTTCTTATTTATGTGAAGTTATTATAAGTTTAGTATCCAAATTGTAGTAGTGTTTTTTTTTGTCATCTAGAACTTGTAGTTTCTCATATATTACGAATCTGGTAACCTCGTGAATTTCATATGCATGTTATTTGAGTATAAAATGCAGATGTCATACCGATAAGATGCAACATATAATTCTAGCTAGAATGCACTTATGCACATATCATCCCACTTAAATGAAATATATGAACTTCTTAAATCCACATGTCGTAATGACAAAATGCAACATATAAATTACTAAAATGCAACGTTGACATATTTTATCAATATGAAATTCTATTATAACTTATGCAAACACTAACAATATATATCAATATATAATGCACATGTTGTAATCTTAATATACTATGCACACATGATGTTTCACTTTTGCATTTGAAAAGCATGCAACTTACCATCTTTAGGTTTTGAGAATAAAAGATTAATTATAAAGTGATTTATTGAAGAAATGCTACCATTAATAATGGTTATACTTAGGGGGTGTTTGACAATTAGCTGTTGGTTGTTGACTGTTGGCTGATTGTGTTAGCTGTTAGATATCGGCAGATTCTGTTAGCTGTTTTGATTAGCCGATAGTATTAGCAGTTTATAAAATGATGTTTGGTTAAATAGCTGTTTACAATCGGCTGATAACTTATTAAATGACTTTTAAAGACATCAACTAATTTTTTATTTACCAACTATTATACGAAGTATATACTTATCGTATACACGGTAATTTTTTTTTAACAATAGTAACAATTCTTTTAAAAAGTGTTCTTGTATGATAGTGACTCCTTTGGAATGCCTACCCTTCATGATCTCAAAATCACCTATGCCAATTGTCAAGAAATAGCGTCACTCCCCATCCAAATCGTGCCACGGTATATTTAAGATTTTTGTGGTGATCCTATGTTTAACTCTTACTTCTCATCTTCGGGATTTCACTATGGATGAAGCGTTTGATGCCCAGTAATTAATATTTTGATAAATTCTTCTTCGTCGTACTCTTGAAATAGAACAAAACTAGATCGAATTCTTCGTACCACTCAAACAGAACATATATTCATCGTTCCAGGCTTCAAGCTAAACATATATGAAGAAAAATACAAAATTGGTTTGAACGGGTGCACTGTAAAAAATTCATGTGAGGAAGAGGAAGACCTTGGACTAGCAAAATTGGATAACTCGTTGCTCAATGCTTGCTTTGTTTCTTTTGGCTGGAAGAAGTCGTGGAAGGAGAAGAGTACGAAGAGAAAAGGCAGGGAGTATGGGTAGAATAGGTACATGTGCTAGATACGCGAACGGCCAACTCCCAAACGCCATGTTCATCGGCGTTTCTATTTTCGGCGGTTTGAAACCAAAAGCCAACTTAAAAAGCCATTAACCAAACACTTATTAATCTGGTCAAAAAGCCAAATGACAGTCAAAACAGCCAAAAAATGGCTGATAAGCTGCTAACCAAACACCCCCTTAAACTTAACTGCTGCTCTTCGGAGGAATTGCGTCCAATCTCAATGCACAAATCTTGCTTTGCAACGCTATTCTACGCTTACGGAGATTGGAAAAAGGCCCATTTTCACCGCTAATAAGAAAACATAAAATTTAAAAGAACAAAAAATTTAAGTAAAATCCCTAAGCCACAATAACAAAAAAAGACCCATTTTCACTTTACATGAGAACTGAGACTACTTTGTATTAGAACTTGAACTATATAATACACATAGACCTACTATTGACATATAAAAATTTTCAGTACATGAGTTGTAAATAAAGTGTACACAAACCTCTTCTAACTGCATGTGCACACATACAATTCATTTAAATGAGACATGATTTGATGTCAAAACCCTTAAATTATATGTGTATACTATACAAGCAATGTACGCATTTTGTGTAGCAAGAATGGCCCATTGACATATACGTAGCTCAACAAATTCCCTAATAGTGTCCAAGTAGAGAAAGGAAGTCTTGAATGCTACCACCGTTTTGAGGAAACAAACAAACAAAAATGATACTCCCTCCGTCCCACAATGATTGTCTCATTTTACCTTTTCGGTCCGTCCCACTAAGATTGTCTCGTATCTTATTTGGTAAAGTTTGTGTGGTTCTAAATCATTCATACTTTATTCTTACTTTATCAATTCAATATCAACCACATAAATCCACTTTTATTAATAATCGTGCCACCTTCTCTTGTCCCAAACTTAAGGGGACAGAGGTAGTAGGTATTTCTGATCGGTATTCATTCCCATCCCATCAAAAATCTGTCGATGTCTCTTCTCAATTAACTTCTCTTTAATAATCATTATGATGACTTTTCGATGACGACATTTACTTCTTTTTCAAATTCATAATCAAATACGGAGTAGATGTTTCTTCTCAATTATTAGTGCCATGCGTTGACAATGTTTATACTTCCTCCGTTCTTAAATAAGTGCAACGGTCAACATTTCATATTTGTCGAGACACAACTTTGACCATTAATATATATAAATCTCTATTAGTAAAAAAAATTTAAAAAATCAGATTTTGAAAATTTGCAATGAGACAAATTTAGTAATATTTTTTTCAAAAATATATATTAATACATTAATAAATAAAATGTAGTCAAAGTAGAATATGTAAATAGTGTAAAATTTGGTATGTTGCACTTATTTAAGAACCAAGGTAGTATTTACCAAAACACATGTGTTGAAACTTGAAACTTATACTCCTGTCCCGCGAAAAGCAAAAAGGTTCTTACGCAGTTTAAATGATAATTTATCTGATAATGAAGTTAATTGATCCATCTTCATCTTTAGATTTGTTTTAGTAAGTAAGATTAACTTATTTAGAAACTATTTTAACGTTTTATAGAATCACCGGCCAAATGAAAAGTTAAATTTGCTAAAAATTCAATATATAAAATAAAAGATTAAAAAGATTTTAGGTTGATCGAAGAATAGTAGACAAAAACCTTTGAACGGGAATATATGCGTATATGAGAAAAGACAAGTTAATAGTTAAAAACATGAGAAATGCTATGTGTACACAGCACTTCTACACACCACTACACATCATAAAAAGCCCACCCCCCTCCCTTTTCTAACCCATTTAACCCCCCACCACCCTCTCTCCTCTTCCAAACGTAATCCACTGCACAGCAAACGAACTGTCTGTGCCATTGTTTTCGTTTGTCTGTGAGCTCTTCTTTCTCTGAACTGGTGGTCGCCTCTGTCACTGGTGGTGATCGAGTGTGTATGGCGGCGACGATGAACGCCGTGGAAGCTAACAGATACGACGGCAGCGACGATGCGGGCCTGGGGTGGACATGGAAGGATATTTTCGGCCCGAGTCCCACTAACACGCCTGCTGTGCTTGAAGAGTGTGCGGTAGCGCCGGAGGTAGGGATGCAAGATGATGAAGACACGACAGAGAATATACTACGGAGGGAAGGAGTTGAACACGCTCCGGCTGCCATGCAAGGCGATGAAGGGGCATCGGATGGTAACACTGTGGAGGCTGAGCAAGGTAGGTGATTATGTAGTGTCCTTTCTTCATGGTTCTTATGTGGTGGTGTTACGAAGCTTCACAAAGCACAGACAAATAATATTGTCTGTTTTTGTATGTAGACAATTACAAATGTATTTTTGAATTTGGGAACATTATGAAGTTCATTGTCTTCTTTTAGAATGTGAGTATAATACACGAAGAGCGTTTTTAGAATGTCACTATAATACTATTTGGTTTGTCTGTACTTCATTTTATAATGTCTGTATTTTATTCATATGTTCTTCTCATTTGATTGATCATTATTTGAACTTGTCTAGATTCCATTTCATAATATCTGCATTTTATAATATTTTATTCATATGTTCTTGTAATTTCTTTGATCATTATTTGAACTTGACTGTATTTCATTTCCTACTGTCTGCATTTTATAATAGTTTATTCATATGTTCTTGTAATTTCTTTGATCATTATTTGAACTTCTCTGTATTTCATTTCATACTGTCTGCATTTTATAATACTTTATTCATATGTTCTTGTAATTTCTTTGATCATTATTTGAACATTGAATATGTCTGTATTTCATTTCATATTGTCTGCATTTTATAATATTTTATTCATATGTTTGTGTAATTTCTTTGATCATTATTTGAACTTGTTTGTATTTCATTTAATACTATCTGCATATTATAATATTTTATTCCTATGTTCTAATTTGTTTGATTATTATTTAAACTTGTTTGTATTTCATTTTCTACTGTCTGCATTTTTTACTATTTTATTCATATATTCATATGTTTGATCATAAATTAGTGTGTGTATTCATTTGTCTGTATAGAATTGATACATAATGTCTGCATTTATATAAATTTGTCTGTTTATACATATTCAATAGTCTGTGTATGAATTCACAGATGCATATGCACAGGAAGACGAGCAAGAAGATGTTAGTGTGGTTGCTCCGGTAGTGGGCATGAAGTTTGAAAGCACAGACGCGGTGTATGAGTTTTACAAAAAATATGGTAGGACTGTAGGATTCCCGGTTAGAAAAAGAACATCTACTAAGGATAGATCCAAGGGTGTTGTGGTGTCAATAGTGATAGAGTGTTCACGGGCGGGAAGTAGAGGTAGCAAGGCACTAAATTGTTTGAAACCTCAACCTTCAATGCAAACATCTTGTACGGCAAGAATTAGAGCACGCAGTACTTATGCTGGGTTATGGGAAATTTCACAAGTGTTTTTAGAACATAATCACCCCATGAGTCCCACAAAAGCTAGACTATTTCGTTGCAATAGGAAGTTGACATCAAAAGCGATGAGACATCTTGCCATTAATGAAGTTGCGGGAATTCCACTTAACAAGAGCTTTAACTCCGTTGTTGTTGAAGCGGGGGGGTATGATGCCCTACCTTTTATAGAAAAGGATTGTAGGAATTATATTGGAAAAATTAGGGAACTTAGGCTAGGAAGTGGTGATGCCATGGCTATACAAGCTTTTTTTTCAAAAATGCAAGCACAATGTCCCGGTTTCTTCTTTAGTGTTGATTTAGATGATGACTCACGCTTGAGAAATGTGTTTTGGGCGGATAATAGAAGTAGATATGCATACAAAAGTTTTGGAGATGTCATCACCTTTGACACAACCTATCTAACTAATCGATATGACATGCCATTTGCACCATTTGTGGGTGTGAATCATCATGGTGAAACTATATTATTTGGATGTGGCTTAATCTCAAATGAAGATACACAAACTTTTGTTTGGCTCTTTAAAGCTTGGCTTGATTGCATGGAGGGTTGTGCTCCAAATGCAATTATAACCGATCAAGACCGGGCTATGCAAAATGCAATTCAAATTGTATTCCCAGAAACGAGGCACCGTTGGTGCTTGTGGCATATCATGAGGAAGCTACCTGAAAAAATGGGTGGGTTTGCGGACAAAGACAAAATAATGTTCAACATTCACGACCTAGTTTATGATTCACAACATCATACTGAGTTTGAGGCAGGCTGGCAAGCTATGCTCCATAGGTATGATCTTCAGCATGTCAATTTCATACTAAATTATGGTGGTGGCAGATCATATGTTGTTTGTATTGTCTGTATATTACGTATATCGTTTGTATATTATTATTATGTTTACCCTTTACAGACATTTATTATTGTGTAGGTGTCACTATTGTCTGTGTTTTTTAGGTTTTCTCTTCACCATGTGAAGAGTTTCATAGTAATTTATGTATTGTCTGTATATGTAGTATATCGTCTGTAGAATATTGTAATTTTTACTCTGCACAGACATTTATATTCTGTATATCTCACTATTGTCTTTGTTTTAAGGTTTTCTCTTCACCACGATGAGTGGCTGGGTGTGATGTACAACGAACGTCATCGTTGGGTCCCGTGTTACTTGAAACCGTATTTTTGGGCAGGTATGTCAACCACTCAACGAAGTGAAAGTGTTAACGCCTTCTTTGGTGAGTATGTTCATTCTAAAACTAGTCTAAAACAGTTCGTGGATCAATATGGGCGCGCTATGAGAAAGAAGATTGAAAACGAATTTCAAGCCGATGGCCTTTCTTTGACTAAAATGATTCCATGTGTTACGTCGTTTGCAATTGAAAAACAAGTGCAACGTGTTTACACCATAGCCAAGTTCAAAGAATTTCGAACCCAATTACTTGATCAATTGTATTGTTATGTCATACCAATGATGGATGGTAAGACATATGAAGTGAAAGAGAATCGTGTCATCAATGGGTTTGATAAGAGTTGGACCTTCATTGTTGAGTATGATGTTTCTACATCTAAAGAAATGTGTAGTTGCCACTTGTTCGAGTTTCGAGGCATTTTGTGTAGACATTTTCTTATGGTGGCACTAAGATATAATGTCAAAGTGTTGCCTGATTGTTACATACTACCAAGGTGGCGGCGAGACATCAAAAGAGCTTACACCCGAGTGAAGATCAATTACGACGGGTGGATAACTACGGTGGAACAAGAAAGGTTTGATAGGTTGTGTACGACATTTGAGACCCTTGCAAACACCATTGCCGATGATCCGGAAAAATGCAATAGCGTTATGATGTGGCTGGAACGGCAATTGGAACTACATAAACCCGCTCCTCCATATCATTCCTCTATATGTGGTGTGTTGACACCGTTACCGGTACCGGATAGTGGTGTGCATGCGGAAGTACCACAACAAATTAAGGATCCAAAGTCAGCAAAACGCAAAGGCGCTCCCAAGAAAAATCGTTTGAAGGGGCCGCTGGAAAAGGGGAAATCCAAGTCAAAGGTATGGTGCCCTGCACTATAATTGTTATTATACAGACAATATATATGCATGTACAGACATTGTACATATACGCACAGACATGAATATCGTACCTATGATTTATATTTGTTTTCCAGCCAAATACGCACAAGAAACGAAGCACAATGGACAATGCTCGACAGGAGTACGCTGGACAGGGGTTCGCGGGACAGCCGTACACTGGAGAAGGCTACGGTGGAGAGGGGTTCGCGGGACAGCCGTACACTGGAGAGGGCTTCGTTGGAGAGGGGTACCATGGTCAATATGATTATGGTGCAGTCAACAATAGTATGACACTACAATATCAAGACAGTTTAGATTTAAATCTGACTTTGTTTTGAGACATATGGCACTTTTTAAGTACTTATTTGAAATACATTAGAATGTTATGTTTTTTTGTGTGGTGTAGTCAACATTACATTTATAAAACTTATTTGTTGCAAACGTCTTACACAGACAATATATCCACAAATACAGACACATACTCTACTATATATGTGTATACAAAATACAAACAATACCATAGGTCTTCATACAAACTTTTATACAATGTTGCATGAATTGCTTTCCAAAGTACTACATTCAAAAAATACAACCAAAAAAATACGGCCTACACAGACAGTTAATGGGGTCAAACAAAATGCATCTTAGTGTGTACTACAACCTACACAGACAACCGCAAAAATACAGACATTCTTGTAGCTTCGCCACAGACAAAAAATATATGGAAAAGACATTGTAGCATTATTGTACAACATGGCACGGCCATTATTGTACAAAATACTACATGTAACCCCCAATGTATTTCTAATAATTACATATACAAAAAATATATACGTCATTGAACATAATTGTTCATCGTCGCGTCTTATGCTTGGTCTTCTTTCAATTTCCATAGTCCTTTAGCAAATTCACGTCTCTTATTCGGCATATTGGCGTACTCACACCCAGGTATGAATGGGATGTCCAACATGAGGTGTTGTGCAAAACTCAACACCATAATTCCACAATCTCCACTACACATAACACAAACAATATGTATTAGATGCTATAGTCACATAAGGGAAAAAAATGGGATGAATGGGTGTTTTTTACCCTCCCCGTTGTTGAGGGACAGCATCGACGGCAACAGCTTGCCACGGGTGGAGGTCGTCTCCCATGTCCCCTTCTCTTTTCCATGTTATTACCCGTAGTAGGTGGGGGAGGCGTTGCATGAATTTTGAAATGCATGATACGGTCCTTCCACTTTTCAAGGAGTCATACACTCTTACGCATTTACGGCGAAGGTCTATTTCCACCAACACCCAATGTTTATCCTCCACATTGTATGGTGTGAAAACCTAAAACATTTCCAAAATCAGATATTACATGTTTGTATGCAGACATTTACTACACCAATACGTCTGTACAGACATTTCGCTCAATAGTTCCAGTGCTTCAGGGAATGCGGACCTTACAGAATACTGGGCAGGGAAGTAATCTTTAAGAGGAATTTTCAATTCCATCCTGAAAATAATAACACAGACATTTGTTAAACACTTAGACATCTTATGTACACACAAAAATCATGGGCACAGACAGCTCAGGAAAACAAAGGAAAACATTAATGAGACAAACATCTTACTACCACACAAACACACTACACAGACAAGCCTACACAGACACCTTTAAAGTAAAAGAACACACTAGACAATTCAACAATGGCATGCAGGCAACTCTAAATTCGTGTACAGACAAGTGAATAGGACATACACTACTCAGACATCTCAAAAATGACAACAACATTTAAGAACACACAACACAGACAACTCTAGAGAACCATAAAGACAACTGTCTTATGCGCAAACGAGTAAGACTACACACTACACAGACATCTCACAAATGACAACAACATTGAAGAGCACACTACACAGACAACTCTAGAGAACCATAAAGACAAATGGCATATGCGCAAGCGTGTAAGACCACACACTACACAGACATCTAACAAATGACAACAACATTGAAGAACACACTACACAGACAACTCTAGAGAACCATAAAGACAACTGTCATATGCGCAAGTGTGTAAGACCACACTACACAGACATCTTACAAATGACAACAACATTTAAGAACACACTACACAGACAACTCTAGAGAACCATAAAGACAACTGTCATATGCGCAAGCGTGTAAGACCACACTACACAGACATCTCACAAATGACAACAACATTGAAGAGCACACTACACAGACAACTCTAGAGAACCATAAAGACAACTGGCATATGCGCAAGCGTGTAAGACCACACACTACACAGACATCTCACAAATGACAACAACATTGAAGAACACAATACACAGACAACTCTAGAGAACCATAAAGACAACTGTCATATGGGCAAGCGTGTAAGACCACACTACACAGACATCTTACAAATGACAACAACATTTAAGAACACACTGCACATACATCTGAAAAACCGCAAAAATATGAACACACTGAACAAGTAACATCTGAAAAAATGGAATAAAGAGCTAACTCCAAACATGGTCAAAATCAAAACATGAGAAAATACGGTTTTACTCCAAAAAAAAACACAATATACACTACAAAATGGTCCAAATCAAGCACATAATACCAAGATTAACAAATAAACTTCAAAATAATTCATGCGTGTCAATAGTCCACCGAAAAACAACCAAGAACAAACATAAACTCAACAATGCAAGTGCTAGCCTCCAAAAAAAATAAGGGAAAAATTAAGTGAGAAATTAACTCAAAACAAGGTGAGAAAAAAATACCTTTGAGCCATTTCCGTCAGGGAACTGCGAACCATTTCCTCAAGTGGACCGCCTCACTTTCGCAGATGCTCGGAGACGCCGGAACGAGGGTGGAAGTAGCGACGGATTTCGGTAGGGTAGAGAGGGGGAGTGCCGTGGTTCTGTCGATGGAGGGAGAAGAGTGGGGTGAAGCCGTTCCTCGGAGACGCCGGAGCGAGGGTAGAAGTAGCTACAGACTTTGGTAGCGTAGAGAGGAGGAGCGTTGTGGGATGCGGGAAGAAGAAGAGGTGGAAGAGAAAGGGGGGAGCGAAATGGAGAGTGGGATGCGGGAAAGAGAAGAAAGGGGGCGCACGCATGGGAAAGGGTGGGAGGCGCACGTGGCAGGATTCAAATTAGGGGTGGGGGGTTAAATGGGTTAGAAAAGGGAGGGGGGTGGGCTTTTTATGATGTGTAGTGGTGTGTAGAAGTGCTGTGTACACATAGCATTTCTCTAAAAACATACACCATCCGTCCCTAATAACTTTGCAATCTTTCCTTTTTTGGATGTCACAAAATCTTTGTCACATTTCCTTTTAATAAATAAATTTGTGACATCCGTTATTTCTCTTTCCTCTACACATATCTCAACAACACATTTTTTTACTGTATTATTTCTCGTGTCGGTCAACATGGGAAAGTATTGAGGGATGGAGGGAGTACAAATGTCGGGGATCGGGTAGTTAAAAAAACTATCATCGTTATAACTCCAGTTAGGGGAGAGCAAACCCGACCCTACCCGATTGACCCGACCGGATATATCCGATTATTTTTTTTTTGGGTCAGATAACCCGACCCGAATTACCCAAACCCGACCCGATTTTTGCAACCCGAGAATTAAGCGGGTAGCGGGTAGGGTTACCAATTATGCTACCCGACCCGCCCGAAAACCCGAACTAGCGTAGTATATATACTATTTTGAATTATTATGCGTGTTCAAATATCTCAATTATTGTATGTCAATTACCATATTATGCATATTCAAGTATTTCAATTACCGTATTTGTAAAACTATAACTTTGAATGTTGTATTGTTATGACTTTGAATGATATTTTGACCAATTGTCATTTTATTTATCACAATATCAAATATGTATATCACCATATATTATTATTTTACATGTTTAAATATGTCGATTATCATATTTATGCAACTATTACTTTGAATGTTATACTAGTATAACTTTGAATGATATTTTTACCAATTACCATTTTATTTATCACAATTTTAACAATAATAAATTAAAATCCGAATGGACCCGAAAACCGAATCAACCCGACCGAAACCCAAACATAACCCGACCCGAAAAACCCGATATATTTTTTGATAGGGTAGAGTTTGAAATTATCAATCCGATACCCGAACGGGTTTACCATTTTCGAACCCGACCCACCCGAACCCGACCCGTGCTCTGCCCTAACTCCAGTGCCACAAAGCCTCCCACCTACCTATGTTAGTTAAAAAAGTTTATAAATGAGAAAAAATAAGATCTAACGGTTGAAGAGTAAAGACAAGTTTGATGCCAATTATTTTTTAGTTTTTCCTGCTTTTCAATTTTATTTTATACAAAGGGTACTATTTTACACTATCGACCGTGGAAGCGCGCGGCCACTTCTCGCCGGCGAGTGATTATGACACTACACTTCAACATTTTCCGATGACCAGTCACAATTGCCATCCTCAAGAAAACAATTCTCTGAAAGAAGTTGGAGATACTCCTCATACACCTTATCTAGCAAACCGTCGTCGCAGCCGGGTGTCGGGCATTGTGGCGGCGAAACATCACCGAAGGCGTTGAGGATGTCGTCACAAAAATCGTCCGGGCGGGGCTCAAACAAATACCAGGGGATAAACGCTCTGTTTTCGCCCTGCCCGGACGAACTGGACGAAACGCTTCCGGCTACGTCTTCGAGGCTGCCATTCCTCGAGAGCGACGACACCGACGATGGCCGGATCGGTTTTGGAGCATACAACACTTTGTCCATACATGGATCCTTCATCTCAATGTCCTTTTCTAATGCTATCTTTTCCTTCTTATTCTTTGTCTTGTTTTTGTCTTCTTTATTCGCCGCATGTTTTTTCCTGGAAGAATTTTTCCCGGCGGGCCGCTGTCTCGGCTCGATACCGGAGCTCTTCAGCTTCTTGAAGAGATGGGTGTTCCAGTAGTTCTTGATCTCGTTATCCGTCCGGCCAGGCAACCTTCCGGCAATGAGGGACCACCTATTTCCGAGGAGAGAATGCAGCCGGACGATCAGATCCTCCTCATCTCCGGTGAAGTTCCCCCGCTTGATTCCTGGCCTCAGGTAGTTCATCCATCTTAGCCTGCAACTCTTCCCACATCTGAGCAACCCTGTTTCAGAATGTCCCAAACAGTCATCATTTTAAATGTAGTGGATGAAGATTGTTAAAGAGGTGATGCACTTATTAGGAAAAATGTTTTATTAATATTAAATTGATAAAGTAAGAATTCTTTAGACGCACACAAATTGTATCAAATTTAGTACGAAACAATGTTAGTAGGATGAACCGAAAAACAAATATGAGATAACTTTAACAGGACGGGAGGGAGTACCTGCTTTTTTGGGCAAAGATCTCCATTGGCTTTCACCATGTTGTTGGATGTAAAGCGTGAGAAGTGAATCTTCTTTGGAAGACCAAGGGCCTTTCTTCAAGCCCTGTTTGGAGCAGCAGGGGGCTCTTCCCATTTCAATCCCTTTCCAATTGGGAAAGGAAAAGAGAGAGGGGGGAAAGTGTAGAGAAAAGTTGTGAGCCGTTGGAGTTCTTTTCATAGGCAGCAGCAAAGCTGGCTAAAAGCAGAGCTTTAAATAGCCCAATGTGATGATATCATTACACATAAGTACGGAATCACTCTTTCTCTTAGCTGTTTTCTCCTTTTATTTTGGACATAACGTCTTAGCCTTCCTTCTCCATGTGATACACGATGTTGGCAGTAAAACTATCAAACTGAACTACGCGACAAACACAATGAGGCAGTTTTCGGCTTATCAGTCAACTTTTTTATCAAACACTTAATTATTGATCTCGCGTGTTGATTGTGTAATAAGCCGAAAAAGTAAAGTTGGATTTACTTTTCTAGCTGTATTGGCCGAAGTTACGGAAGATGACTATTTTAACTATTTTTATATATAATTTTTTCTTTTTTTATTAATAAAATATATTTTAAATAATTTTCTCTTAAATCAACAGAATTAGCCAATGCAACCACTTCAATTAGAACTTCACAAATTTCAGCAAAAACGGCCAAATCAGTCGATTTTCGTGTTACCAAACGGACTCAATATTAGCTCCCCTCACATGGGATATTGTCGCACGAGTAGTTCGTATTAAGTGGCACAACTAGCTCTATTAATTGAATAGGGAAAAAGTCAAAAAACTTGCAGCGACCATGTAAATGTTATAGTTCATGTATGCTGAGCTACATCTTTGGTGTGCATGAGTACCAGATCTATCAACATTTGGATGAGTGAGTTACTGTGACTTACATCATCTCGTGTCAGGGTGTGAGGGGTTTTTAGGTT